ATGTTTCTGAAAAAAATGTGCGGGTAAAAAAAAACATGTTGAAGCGGGTTCACATCAAATAAAACCCTGAAGATGTTATGGTCAGTAAGTACAATGTAGACTTTGTTCAAGTATTCCATGAAAGTTCGGGAGTTCCCGGGAACATGTACCCGGTTCATGAAAAGAATGTTACATGTATTTGCAGGGGCGTAGCAAGGTCATATTTACTGGGGGGGGGGGGGGGGGGGGGGGTAACACTTGCACATCTGTACTGAAAATGTACACACGTTTTTTCTCTCCGGACACTTGGCCTCTGTAAAATCATATAGTGAGGGGGGGGGGGGAGGGGGGCTGGTATCATCTGTCGATGGGGGCGCTGTCACTTTTCTGGGCGAAACATGCGCAAAATGTAAAAAAAAAGACACTCATAACAGCTGCTGGCACAAAAGAGCGCACAACTTTTTTTTTAAAAGGGAACTTATTCAGAAAAAAAGGCACAAGTTTGTTAACAAAAAAGGGCACTCTTTACAAATATGGGGGGGGGGGTAAGCGCTGGTGAAAAAAAGGCATTTGAATGGAAAAAGGCAGTCTTTACAAAATATTTATGGCATTCTACATGTTTCTGTTAACTTAAATCAGTGACACCAAACAATGAATTCTACAAAATTCTTTTGGACTTTCAGTGAAACATGTGTGACTTTAGAGTTTACTTCTTATACCTGAATCCCCCACCTGTGTATTTCGCATTAAATTTGGAAAGTCTTTCATCACCTTCACAATTCCCTTTTAAAATCTGCGGATTTCAACTTTGAATTCCACTCTTTTTGTACTAGTGGGCCCAAGAATTTGGCCCAACACTGAACCTTGACCATTGGACCTGAACCACTGAGCCCTGGGGGGGGGGGGGGGGGGGGGTACAGGTACATGTATAGAGGAATGCCAAGGTTGCTATGGCAATGGCAAAAGTGTAGCAGTCAACCTTGACAGCAGGGGGTAGTGACCTTTTGTTCCAGCTTTTCCACAAATCATAATAGCATGGAGCTATCTAGCCTAAAACAAACTACACAGGTTTGCCAGATCTCATGCAAAGAATTTTCCAGTTCATGACTATCTTCACATGTACACTCGACAAATTGTTTATTGTAAATTGTTGACTGATTGTATTTTATTGTCTGCTATAGGCAGGCATGCAACTGGGAAATCACAAAAAAGAGGAAATTTAAATTTTCCCCAGACTTTGTACAGTGTTTTTCTATTTTCAATGGCACACTTGGGAAGTACAAGAAGAGGAAATCAGCTGATCCGAGGAAAAGTTGCATGCCTGTATAGGCCTAAGTTAAGCACCGTCGATATATCATTACTCGATTATGTGATATCATTTTGATATAAATATTGCTGATAGCAATTGTCTAATCATATCAAAATATCAAAATTTTCGATATTAAGGAATGATATTAAAAATATCGCAAAATGCTATTAGATTATTGTCAAAATAAATCTCCTGTTTGTGTTGACGTTTGCTGTACATAGTACTTGTACAAGTTTGTTTATTCAAATGCCACGCGATGTCGCTTCTAGCTAGCTGCATTCGCTGGAATTTGCGGTCTCCCCAATGTAAAACCTCAAAAGAAATTAAATCGCCTGTTCTGGACAAACTGTCAGTACTGAGATTTGTTTGAAAAAGTTTGTGTAATATGCCGAGAAAGCTGTAAGAAATCTGGATTTAAGATTTTTATTTCATGGTCTTGTACTTTTACAAAGGGTTATCAATAAATTGAACATTCTCGATACTGGTATCATTTATTGAACATTCTAATATCGACAGTGCTCACTAAATAAACGAATACTAGTGAACTACAGTGATCATCATTTACAGTGTACACATTGGATAGGAACAATCATTATAAGATTGGCACAATTTCAGTTTCTGTTTAATAAATGTGCTAAGCAAAGGATTACTTGAAAAATCAAATTGCCATAGGTTTGCCAAGCACATCCGTATCCACTTCAATTTACTTGATTACAATTAGGCCTACTAAAGTAGGCCTACAATTTGCATGTTTCAGATTTGAAATTACACGCATTTCTTTTGTTAAATCAATTTTAAATAGTTTTGTAAAGTACAATTTGCATGTACAAAGTTTGTGTAATATACCTTTTGTTAAAATCAATTTTAAATAATTTTCTAATTTTTTTATCGTTATTCCACAAAATGGCCCAGCTGTCATTGCAGACACAAACTGACGAATAATTCTTAGTATGAATTGACACTAGATTGAACTAAGTTCCAAAATGTGGGCTTCCCCTATCAAACAGTGACTTAACAAAATGATCTCATCATATAATTTTTTTCTTTGTTGCTCACAATGGAAAAAATCAAACAGCTGTGGGGCATGTGCTGTGCAAAAATGACGATGCAACTTATTAAATATACATGCTGTCATTGCTGTGGAGACTTTGTCTTTTCCAAATGCTTGTCAATCACAAAGACATGATTATGAAACAAACTTATCGTTTTTTGCTTAGAAACAAATTTACTTGGTATTAAGTTAAAACTAAACCACTTTTTGTTCACCTGTCCTGAATTGTAATATAAATGTTTCTTATTCCTGGGCCCAAAGGCCAAGCCTAGAGTCCACTTTATTAATGGGCTAACGCCGTGTTCCCACTGGACTTTTTCTTTCGCGGCCTTGCAGAAACGTACTCGACTCACTGTCATCATTTTTTGAACACCGATGGAACGTTTATTCGCCGTGAGTGGCTGTAGAATGTCACATATTGCAGGCACTGTGCACAATAACCTTTGACCTAAATGGTTATCGAATTGTAACATGTTAACATCGAGACATGACATAACTTTCACACGCTCAAATAGTCAGCTACTTGACCGAAGCGACTCGATGCGATGTAAAGTGAGGAAAATGACTTTGCTATCAATCCAGACAAATGTGAGAAGGTGCATACCTTTACGTCCTCTTTTTGTTTGCCGCCTGAAAATTCTTCGTCTGCCTTTACTATCATTTTCACTGAAATCCAACCCAATCAAACTTCTCACAAAATTGATCGAATCTGTCATGATTTGAGGAGCTGATCATAGAAGAACAAGTCTCTGTCCACACAGGGCGCTCTATACATGTACACGCTCTCTTTCAAATTGTCTTCTTCATATACTGCATTTATAAACAACATTGGGACTTCAAGCCCCTTGGCCCCTTAGAAAATATTTGCTTAATGTAAAGAGTCCCAAGTCGGCATTGCCAGGTGCTGGATTATGGCAAATTTGATGTAATTAGGAGTTAACGGTAGGCCTACCTCCCAATTTGAAACACACAAGGACAAGTGAACTTTAAATATCTCATTAAAATGAACTTCCACAGAAAATTGGGGCTCCTCGACTCATAACAACATCTGACAGGGAGTCCCCCTGGTAATCTGAAACATCCTTTGCTCCTCCATGTTCCCTAAGAGACCCCTATACACAGCTCTCAGGAACTGTTGACAATTTAATTATCCAACAGAAGAGAACAAATTATCACTGCCTCTATCTGCCCTTTAGAGAGAGGAAACCATACCCACGGCAGAGCTTGCCAAGGATTTCTGGGAATTTCAGGAAAATATTATTTTCTTCCACATCTGACATTTAAAGGTATGTTGCATTTATCCCAAAAGTAACCGACCAAAGTTTAAAAGCTATTAATTAAAGATCGTACCAGTACTAAACGCCCTGTGAAATAATTCCTTTCGGCTTGCTGTCACTTGGAAGAAATCGAGAAACGTAGGTGATTTCCAACGATCAGTTCTGACTGATTTTTGGAAATAAAGAGTACTGCTATGGACAAAATCGCATTTTGGGTTAATATCGTGCATTGTTTTTCACTGTTTTCTTGAAAGTGAAATATCATGAGCTGAAATTTTAATGGGTTAGGTTTTGAAATATACCTCTTAATTGGATTTTGAGTGGTGTTATTATTGGAAATGAACAAAAAGCATGAAAAGCAAATTTATGATCTATAGGCCCTATGCCTCTTTTGCTGTAGCTGGTTAATACTGACAACACATTAGACCTACTCGAAATTCCAGTCAATCTAAAGTTCAACTTAAAAAAAAATGTCTGGGGTTAAGGATTATATGCGAGGGAATGAAGAGTTTGCACTTTAGTAATTTCATATCTAGCCAGATTGACCATCAGCTACATATTTTGGGACCCTTGAGTTTGTTTGAACAATCAGCTACTGCGTGTTCAAACAAAAAAACTTTTGTCCATTCAACAAGTCTTATCACTGTACTTGAGCAATCACGGACAATACACAATTTGTGTACAGTGTAAACAACACACAAAATACACTGCATATTTGGGGAACACAAAAAATCCCTGTACTCTGAAATGCAGGCCAAGGTTTGGGGTTCCAAGGTATACATCAGCTTTGAATGAAAACTCCCTAGATGCTGTGTGTTAAATCCTATTATGATTGGTGGATTCAGGACCGTTAGGGTTTGGGTGCTCATTGAACACTTTTACTAGGGGGTCCGCGGGCATGCTCCTCCAGAAAATTTGGAAAACTAGACATGCTTTGGGGGCATCAATAAAATTCTTGAATTGGCCATGTCTCAGTTTATGACGACCAAGTCTTATTTGCTACCGAATCTTGTTCAGATCCACCATCGTTATTGAACAATAATTATGGACAGAACAATCTGTCAAACGGATTTATACAAACCTGAGGCAAAAAAAAAATGTATGCACAACAAAGACGCCAAAACATTACTATTTTTTTATGCGCGGGTATGTTAAGCTCCAACTATAGCATCATCCCAATTATGGTCGGGGTGGTCTCAACAATAGTTGAGAAGATCCCAAGTTATTGTTAGGATCGCCTCAACAATAGTCGGGACTGTCGCAACTATACATGTAGATTGGGCCACAGCTATAGTTGGAACATTACAGGGATATCTTCTAGTAAGTACATATACATGTATACCTTCAATGAAGGTACAAGATAATACACAAATGTCTGCCTTACCTTGCTCGCTCAGCAGAGCATCGCTCCATCAGATGTCCATTGATCTCAATGATTTCATCCCCAACTTTCAGCTGTCCGTCCTGCTGCACAAATGACCCCGGTGCGATCGCAGCGATGCGTATGTTCCCCAATGCTTTGCTGTTTGCCGGAGGTGCTACAAAAGGTTCCGGTTTCTGCTGCCGTTGCAGCGTCGCCGTTGTCGCGCCGCCGTTCTGCAAGATCAACCCGAAGTCTAAGGTGCTCTTCGGGGCCGGGGGAGACTGAAACGCAAAAACTTTGATCTCCTCTCTGTTGCGATCACCTTCACCCCCAGGCTTTTCGTAGGGGGCTTCTGATCCTACTGCCCCAGCCTGGCTAGCCGCAGTGGTTGCAGCTACTGACGTGGCTGCGGGTAGAATGCTGTTGAGGTAGGCACTGAGGACGTTGATGCTGCGTTGGACATCTTCCTGCTGTTGCGCACTGCTGCCTGACGCGTCTCGGAATTCGGTGAGGAGGCACAGCGATCTGGCTGCATTTTCCTCGCTTATTGGCATCGCTGATGGAAGGTTGTGAATCTCTTTCTCCAATGGTGTGTGTGTTCATGTAGTGAAGGTAGTCACTTGAACAAAGGCAGTTTAATACAAGGCAACAATCCTACAGTAAAGATAAAAAAGTCTCTCATTATTGGTCTGCTTCAAAATGAAATATAAACAGTCCAGACATAAGAATCCATAAAAAAACCATGAAACAGCTGTTGTTGAATAATCCCAATAGCCCCAATGTCTGTAAAATTTCAGTGATTCCATTTACGAAGCAATAAACTTGGATAAATTATTCAAATGTCACAACCCACGCATTATGATTGACATAATTCACAATAGTTAACATTTTTAGGCCAAAGCATTCGTCCATTTTTTTTTTCAAATGACAAACATGTGTATTCATAAACCAACTCAAAGTCCAACACAAAAGTTTGTACATGTTGTTCTATGGTGCATCTAATTAAAATACATTAAAAACATTTTTTCCCCATTGCATGCTATTTTGGAAATTGTGAAAAATGTCAGTTAATTTCTTGAAATTACCAATCAACATTGACGAGCAACTTGTTAATTTTGTTTAGTAATAAGCAAATGAATAAGCTTTGCAAGTGCAACCATAATATGAAAAGTGGAGTGATCTTTGCTCTGTTAATCACCTCCATGGATTTAATACACACTGCTCACTGACATTGGAATGCGTGTACGATGACGCATCGTCTACGAAAAGGAGACACCCCCCATTCATCAACAAACACTGCTTTTTAAACAAGTTGTTGGTTAATATTTAACCAGTCCTAAATTATGTCGATTTAAGTGAACGACTATGAACAGTATACTCACTGTGACACTGGTGAATTACATCTGGACTTTGAGAAAGTTAATCATTGTCTTTTGTGGTTTTTTATCCAGAATTTACATTTTTATATCATACAACGTGTACACAAAATGCACCTGCCGTTTACTGCGCTAGTCCAGCGGCGTTTGTGTACACGTTGTATATGCTGCGGTTACGCGCTGTTGTCAGATTCAACCATTACAAAATGGGTAGTGCAATGCCGTGTTCAACCACAATTATTGCTGTCAGGCTTGCTAAGTTTCCGTTTTGACACACATAACTCTTTCTAAATCTATTAATTTGATGATTATTTTCTTCTCTAACTAATTGTTTGCATTTAATGTCCAAATACTCGACCGCTAAGTCAACTGTTTGATCGAGGGTCAATTTAAACCCCCTCAATATTCCAATCGTTGCACCTTCCTTTTATTTATCGTCATTTAAATTTAACAGAGGGCGCTATTAGCAATATTTATTATATAGCTCTATGCAATATTCACATGCGAACATAGACTAGTTCCCAGTCCCTCCATAATCGATGCTGACTTCGAATCAGTAGGGATACCGTACCAGCGACGCGGAACGCTTTTCACCCGGGGGGGGGGGGGGATCACCAAAAAGGGGCACTTGCTCAGAAAAAAATCACTTTCCGTCGGTGTGAAAGAGGAGAAAATTGTGAAACTATTTTCGTTCACATTGCAAGGAACACATATTACCTAGAACAAAAATTTGCTAACAACATTGATATACACTTTTTAAAAAGTTTGCGCATGGAAATTCTACCTCCATGGTTTGCGTAACAAAAATAACAATCTTAATTCCCTTAATTAAAATTACAGTGTAGGCCTATTCCTGAAAAAATTCTCAATATAGCCGTATTGTTCTCGAATAAGGTATTTTTTCCACTTGAGAGAGCCCTTCGGCCTCGGCACACTCCCGTTACCGTTACCATTTCTCTAGGGCCTGGTCCGCCCTTTATTTACTGAATTTGACAAGTTATATACCCTAGGCGTTTACAGTCACTCCTAATCACCGTAAAAAAAAAATTTGTCAACATGAATAGCTGCCTTAAATTTGAGTCAATTCCCAAAAGCCTTTTTTTTTGGTCACCACGAAATTTGTCTGTCTCAATATTTATCGTGTTGGCAGTCAAGACTTACACGATATGACCCGTCTCCTGCGCTACTCCGATCCGACAATAATGGTGATATCATCAAACAACAGGCGGCGCTCTTCACAATTAACGGTACGATCTCAAAAACCATAGACATAGGTTCTTTATGTCTATGCTCAAAACCCATTAATAAGGGAATAAATGTGTGCTCCGGAGGTTTTTATCACTCTGTTTAATACCACTTAGAGTCTGGGTGCTGATAATTACCCGAGCCGGAGGCGAGGGTAATTATCAGCACCCAGACTCTAAGTGGTTTTAAACAGAGTGATAAATACCGACGGAGTACATATTTATTCCCATTCATAAATACCTTTTCGGAAAAAAAAAATCATATAATTCGTTCAAAACATCCCGATTTTGTTCAAAAAATTCACTTTTTGCTTTTTGAAACATCCCTCCTGCAAAATAATGGAGTGTTCAGCTGGCGAGTAGGATGAAAACAACCCTTTTATGGAGATTGACGCGCGCGTATCATGTTCTACGCGATGTCGCGCAGAACGCACCTGGCGCGTTGCGTTTTGAATTTAGAACTATAAAATTCTAACTCCCTGGTAGTGTTGCGCATGCCTACGTGAGGATTGTGAACGTTCAACCAATGAAACGATAAGAGGCACTGGATTTTTAGGAGTCCACATTTTATTGTGACACTGGAAAAGTGTTTAAGACCAGCTAGCCATGTCTTTATCATCCGTTTAATACCGGCCACGTGACGGGCTCTCGACCAATAGGAATGGCTAAACTGTCTGAGGTATTTGTGAATGAGAATTCATAAATACCTCAGACAGTTTAGCCATTCCTATTGGTCGAGAGCCCGTCACGTGGCCGGTATTAAACGGATGATAAAGACATGGCTAGCTGGTCTTAAACACTTTTCCAGTGTCACAATAAAATGTGGACTCCTAAAAATCCAGTGCCTCTTATCGTTTCATTGGTTGAACGTTCACAATCCTCACGTAGGCATGCGCAACACTACCAGGGAGTTAGAATTTTATAGTTCTAAATTCAAAACGCAACGCGCCAGGTGCGTTCTGCGCGACATCGCGTAGAACATGATACGCGCGCGTCAATCTCCATAAAAGGGTTGTTTTCATCCTACTCGCCAGCTGAACACTCCATTATTTTGCAGGAGGGATGTTTCAAAAAGCAAAAAGTGAATTTTTTGAACAAAATCGGGATGTTTTGAACGAATTATATGATTTTTTTTTTCCGAAAAGGTATTTATGAATGGGAATAAATATGTACTCCGTCGGTATTTATCACTCTGTTTAAAACCACTTAGAGTCTGGGTGCTGATAATTACCCTCGCCTCCGGCTCGGGTAATTATCAGCACCCAGACTCTAAGTGGTATTAAACAGAGTGATAAAAACCTCCGGAGCACACATTTATTCCCTTATTCACAAATACCTCAGACAGTTTAGCCATTCCTATTGGTCGAGAGCCCGTCACGTGGCCGGTATTAAACGGATGATAAAGACATGGCTAGCTGGTCTGAAACACTTTTCCAGTGTCACAACAAAATGTGGACTCCTAAAAATCCAGTGCCTCTTAACGTTTCATTGGTTGAACGTTCACAATCCTCACGTAGGCATGCGCAACACTACAAGCGAGACAGAATTGTATAGTTCTAAATTCAAAACGCAACGCCCCAGGTGCGTTCTGCGTGACATCGCGCAGAACATGCTACGCGCGCGTCAATCTCCATAAAAGGGTTGTTAACATCTTACTCGCCAGCTGAACACTCCATTATTTTGCTAGAGGGATGTTTCAAAAAGCATGAAGTGAACTTGTTGAACAAAATCGGGATTTTTTGAACGAATTATTTGATATTTTTTTTACGGATAAGGTATTTATGAATGGGAATAAATATGTGCTCGGTCGGTATTTATCACTCTGTTTAATACCGCTTAGAGTCTGGGTGCTGATAATTACCCTCGCCTCCGGCTCGGGTAATTATCAGCACCCAGACTCTAAGCGGTATTAAACGAGTGATAAAACCCTCCGGAGCACACATTTATTTCCTTATTAATTAAGCTAAAAGAAAAACGGATAACGAACCCGTCATTCCCAATTCCTAAGTAAAAAGAAAAACGGATAACGAAACCATTTCCCAATTCCTAAGCAAAAAGAAAAACGGATAAAAGAAACCATTTCCCAATTCCTAAGCAAAAAGAAAAACGGATAACTAACCTATTTCCAATTTCCCGCACAAAATAGGATAACGGACTTCCAATCCAAATCCCATCTCGACAGCAAAACGGAAAACGAATAACGATTCCCACTATTCCCATTTTCCAATTCGACAGCTAAACGGAAAACGAATAACGATTCCCACTTCCCTATTCGACAGTTAAACGGAAAACGAATAACGATTCCCACTTCCCTATTCGACAGCTCAACGGAAAACGAATAACGATTCCCCACATCCGAAATCCTATCGAGAAAGGAATTGGGATTTCGCAGTGCATGATGGGAAAATTCGGACTTCGAAACTTTTTCGCAAACTCGTCCCCAGGGTTAACTTTATTTGTAACTTTCTTTCCTGTATTATGTACCTGTCAGTGCGTACCGCTCAACTTTACGTGAACGAGATTGTATTTGACACCGTTAATTGTGAAGAGCGCCACCTGTTGTTTGGTTATCCCGATATCAACATAACATGGATAATCTAGCGGTAGGCTAGGCCTGTACACTCTAGTCTGGACTACTATTGTCAAAATTCAACTTCCTTTCGGCCTACTGGAAAGATTCCCATATCTGGACATCACTAATTTTCCCCTACAGTGACCTATGCCACCATTAAAATGGATAATCTGTCCAAAAATGTCAAACTTAGCAGGGAAAAGTTGCTATGTGCTACCCTACATCATTCCATGGCATGCCTACGTACTGAGAAAACATAAAGGACACTCTTTGACAATTGTTGGTCAGTGAATATGTCCAGGTATGGAATCTTTTTAATGCTTTGCATACATTGTTCTGGGTAAGACTTTGTCTTTTTATAGCTCCACGATTGTAAAGCCATACTTCCAGAACTCTAGTTTTTACAGTTGTGGAAGGGAACCATGGGCCAGGGCTAGTATCGTTTTTAGTTCACCGCGCGCACCTACTCCAACTAAGAACCCAGGGCTTGATCAGTTGGGCCCAGTCTCAACGCAAACATCCCAAACGTGGTGCAATTTGATGTTTCTCCGGACTGCCCACATGCACGCGGTTGCCAAACTTCTTTTATTGATAAACTTCAAATTCATTCAGTTAAATACTGGTACGAAATCAAAAAAAAGTGGCGTCCGGAAATTGGGCCAAAATCAGCTGAGTGTTCCCTAACGTGGGGCACTTGCATAAATCTTGAAAAATTCCAAGTTATTAAACACTAAAGAATTATTTTAAACTGGTTGATAAATACTGACAAACCATTATTATCTCTACTTAATACCCAACTAGAAGTTTGTCAGAAAATTATTTTCTTACTTTGTTTGGGTGCATTTTCAAAGGGTTTACTGTGCACTTAAAAATGAAATAGCAAAATCACGCCTGAAATAAATTTCTCTGCTAACTTTAGTAACGGTCGATAAACTCGCGATTTATGAAAAAGAATGTTTGGAACTTAATTTGCTCTAGCTAGGCGCTACAGGCGTAAAATCAAAGTGCGCCACATTAGGGGCCTCGCCACGTCAGGGTACATCAACAGTTAATATATATTATCACATAGAGAAAAAAAACATTCGATTTTGGTGCGAGAAATAAAAATTGCCAAAAACATCCAGATGTTGGAAAAATTCAATGCAGAGCTGCCCGGTTTGTTCTCGAAGATTACCAGTGTACATCCAGCGTCACCAAGATGATCGACATGTTAAAATAGGATTCCTTAGCAGATAGACGAAAATTACTAGACTGACCCACTTCTATCAAATCCACACCGGAAGTTCTCCTGTCACCATCCAGCCTAACAAAAGAACTTTGACCTCTCAAGTCGCCACTTCAATCAGGATACCCGTCCAGCGGCTTGAGAACTACCAGGTGCCAGAACGCCTTCTCCAGAAGAGTTGATTGGAATCAACTCCCCAGTCAATCACCTCCCTAAGTCCCTTGAGTTGTTCAAAGCGGCCATCCAACCTGGACAGAATATACACTCTGCACCCCATGGCGTCATGGGCCAAGTTTGGCTTTTTGCCGTGTATCGATCAAAAGATAAAGGTGGAGAATGGCTGTCTGCAATTTTGTCATTACTCCCCGTTCATATTGGTCTGGCGAGCTGTTACTTCTATTCTAATTAGCCCATAAAATGTGGCCAATTTACTGGACTACCTTCGTAAATAAAGGCCACACTTCCAACATGTACAAAAACAATTTCTTCTCATTGTCTTCTCTCCACAGGTTTCTTCAGGCTTGCGAGCTACAGTGCCTAGGGCGCTTTTGAGGAATCCTTGGTTTCATTACCAGAAATGATTAATAATAATAATAATAATAATAAACTGGGGGGTATTGTCACTCACTTCGCCTATTTTCCACTTCGCCCACAACCAATTCGCCCACAACCACTTCGCCCATTTGCCACTTTGCCCATTTACCACTTCGCCCACTTACGACATCGCCCATTCGCCACTTTCCACTTCGCCCATTTACCACTTCGCCCACCCCTTGTTCATACGTTTTTGAGAAACCCCAGTGATAATTTGACTAATTTTCCAAACTTTAAATATATTTTCGAATCAAACTATGCATGAATCGATGTTATTTCAAGCTAGAAAAGTCTATGAAGAAACTTCTCGCAAAAAAGTATTTTTCTTTTTAATAATTGTATTTTTTTAACAGATGAAATTGCTCTGAACGTCATTATAAATGCGTACTGGAAGGTGGTATGATGTTAATGTGCTTTGCTGGTTTTAACGCAGGCGCCTCGGACTAGGGCCATTATCCCCGTCCAGGCCACTAGCCAGTTTTAAGCGTACATGTACTTGTTTAAATTAATACCGGCTGTGATATTTTTTTCCATACCACACATTCGCTATGAGTGTACATGTATATCGAAGCACGCTGAGTTACAAGTCAGATTCTCGGACTTTATTTTCCCTTCGAAAAAATCATCTATATAAAAACCAAAAATTAGCAAAAGAAAAATGTTTCAAACGACTAAAAATCCTTTAAAAAAGTAAAGAAAGAAAAATAAAAACAGCCTGTGTGTTTTAAACCGATGACCTACGGATTTATAGTCCAATGTCGATAAAATATCAAGAACTTAATTGAGAAGGGAAATCGTGATGGTCATGCGTCATAAGCTTCGGCAATGCGTTCATATCACTCTGGTATGCGCGCGCGTCGCCGTAGCCATGCGCGTCAGCAAAATGAAAAAGTTTTTTTTTCAATGAAAGATGATGTCTCAAAACTGCCAAACTCACTGGTTTGACTGGAATCCTGCTGCTGCACAGTTTTAACGTGTTTTTGGATGGGGTTATGATCGAGAATAAGCTTTATGTGGCCTCTCTGGACTCCCATAGATTTGCACTAAGTTTAGTCGGGCACCATCACTTGCAGTCATCAGCCGACATTTGAAGCAAAACAAATCAGGTAAAAAAAAAAAAAGCCGCGTCGCCGCACCACTTTTTGGGCAAGCTCCATACCAGAAACCGGAGACTTTTTTTTGGGCCTTAAACAGAGTGTTTAAAACCTCATTCCCTTATTTCACATTCCCTTATTCAAACCAGTACCAAGTCACAGAACACGATTTCTCAAACAAACAGATGGCTCTTCGGAGCCTCCGTACTGAAGTGGGTATAGTCAGATGCCGTAGGCTTAGTTAAAGGCATTGATCTCCATATACACAGGGAGATCAATGGTTAAAGGTGAGTAAACTACAGCGTTGAAGGGTCGGGGAACATTTTTGTTAAACGCATACGTTACGCGCATGCGCATCATGGATTATTTACAAAGTTGCTAGGGGAAGTCGTCGCCATCCGATCGTACGCGTGTACTCGGTTCGATTCGTTTCCTGCCCGTGTTTACGTACGTTTACGTACGTACGTACGTAACCTACGAATCGAATGCGAGCAAGCTGAACAATTTGCTTCATCTGATTCTGAGATCTAGCTATTTGCTTTCTAATTCCAGCCAGATAAATCTGAAAGTGAAACCAAGATGAGTGTCAGAACATACAATCCGTCCGTGAGAGTTGATAACTGGAATGAAGATATTTGTTTGGAAGAGGTGAGACTAAAGACTTAAATTTTAAAATAAATTAATAAGACAGTCAACATGGTCAATCAAATTATCATGTGCACCGGTAGGGGGCCTAACTCCGGCATCGGCCTCGGTCAGTCGGTGACCTGTAAAATACTTTTTATGGGTTTCTGTCTAGGCCTAAAGCCAAATGGTGTGTGCACACAAAAAGGGCATAGGTCTTTAATTAAAAAACAAAGGATCGACTTAAAACAGAACAAAACTGACTTAAATTTATTAATAAAAATTATGAAGAAAAAAAAAAGATGATTTCAGCGGCTATGTTTAGGCCAAATTTCACGGCCTCTTGTCATTTTTAGACCGCTGGCGGCTACAACGTAGTCCGAGTAACTAGGACTCTAACATTTGGACATGGTCAGGCGATCGCTCGAACCATGTCCAAATGTTAAAAAAGGCGATTCATAGAGTCCTAGTTACTCGGACTAGCTACAACAGACATTGACCTCCAGTCGAATTCCCAATGAGCATTGGAGCTGGAGTTTTTCCATGAAAGACTTTTGGCTGATTATAATTTAAAGGCCCTGCACAATTTTTAAAAAGTTGGTTTTGGAATCTTTGTCTCATGAAATAAACTTTTCTGGTGAGATCCTGATTGTGAGATTAATCCTCCTGATTGTATATTTATATTCCCCCCCTTTGAACAGGACATATTGAAAGATTTCCAAGAGAGAAGAGACAGAGGAGAGTTGGCCATTCAGCAATCATCAAAACTAAAAGAGACGATTCTCAAAAAGGTAGATTTATGTTTAAAACCCTAACTCCCTAGGCCTTTTTGCTAGGATGTAGCCTCAATCCTGCAAAATCCTCCAATTGGCCTCATGGAAAAATAGCATATAGCCTCAATCCTGCAAATTCCTCCATTATTTCTTGAATATGGTCCATGGAGGGGTGACCACTGCCTGAATCCTGCAAAATCCTCCGGCTATGACTGTCAATAGGCTGAGGCAGAGGCAGTGACATCCTGGAGCAGTGCGGAGGATTTCAAGTATAATCAAGGACTAAATTTATGCATGGCTGAGCATAAACAACACAAGGTCCGGCCCAAGACCTTGACACAGTGCGTACTCCGAAATCCGCAACGCACTTTTGCCATGTAACCTCAATCCTGCAAAATCCTCCAATTTGCAAAAAGGATTTTGGAGGATTCAGGGCGGTTAGGGTTAATTAATTTAAAATTAAATTTAAAAAAAATAAGTAAATAAAATTGCTCTAATATAGTAATGGAACAAAACAAATGCCCAAATGGTTGGTTAGATAATCAGTTCGTGCCAGGATTATTTTTTCGCCGAAAAAGGCAAGATATAGCAGCCAACTTTTGATATACAGTCAAATGCCACAAATAACTGTGGTCATTTCAACAGTATTCATATGATATTTCTTACCACAACCTCATATTTTTCAACACTCCGGGGTGTGCACACGGAGCGTAAATTGTACCACAACAGGCCGTGAACAGCGGCCAAGTTTAGGTACAACACACGGTCCGCCTCCACAGACTTCTCGGACTTTGTGTGTTGGTACAAAACAAATGGGGGATTAGTGTGTTAAGGCGTCATCCAGAGACGAGTCGTGGCACGCTTGACGTTTTAACCCGTCAGCCGTGTCTGTGTAATAGAAACAGCCAGATCGTGTTAACACGTCATCTGATGCGAAGTGGCTAAACACTAGACCTAATTGTGAAACTTGTTTCCCCAACGTGCTTGAGGCCCAGTTGTTTTTCTTTGATGAGGTATTTTTTACTTTTCTAAATCAACAATGAATGTACACAAAATTGCTACCCATATGTTTCTGTGTGAAATGAAAGCACCCACAAAGAAGATGCCTGCAATGCAAAAGATCTATTTCAGAGGTCACAGGTTCGCATCCCACTAAAGTCCATTTCCCTTACTCAATATTTATCATAACCAAATTGGATATTTCCAACCACTACCGTAGGCCGAGTTGTCAGTGACACAGGATGGGTTCCTCCACTTCGGCGACTGCGTCATGCTGCGCAACGAGGCCGACGCCAATCAGATCAAGACGCAGCCCGGCGTGGAGCCCCGGCAGGCCAACACGCTGGCCGTCAACATGTCGGAGATGAAGATGCACGAATCGGTGCAGTTTGAAGGCACTTGCAACGTCAGCGGCAGCCGGATACTGGAGCCCTGCGCCAGGAACACGTTCGCCATACTTCCGTGAGTACATCCTCCAAAACACAGGTTTATACTCAGGATATTGGTCTAACATTATATTTCTTGATTTTTAAAAAATAATCATTAAAGGATGCATCAAATGATATGTTTTATGTGTATGAAACAATGTTAAACTATGCATCACATTAAAAGCTTAATTCTCCCCCTTAAACCTTTAGTCACTGTACCGCCCGAAACTGCCCTGCCTATTTACTCACTATGGCGCCTGAAACTGTCCGAGCACTCTTTTTTTAATTTTTCAGTAAATAGATACATTGTAATACAATGAAATCCATGTGCTAATGGTACAAAAAGATTTTTTTTTTTAGTGAAAGGACTGTTGTTTGTTACAATTTGTTTAATACAATAAAGTCAAATTTGCTACAAAAAAAAGCCTCCAAATTTGACTTTCCATTTGCCCCTACAAAAGCATGCTTTTATTTTGCTTTTATTTGGTTTTTTTTTTGGGGGGGGTGTCTAGGGAATTGTGGCGTTCATGTTCTTGAGCATGATAGTTTTCCTCAAGTTCATCTTACCATATAGTTGCAATAGCAGGGATGGGGTGGTGTTAAGTGGGACAGACAGAAAAGCATAAAGATGCTACATGTTTGAAGATTTGATCGTATGTGTAAATCTGTTTCAAAAATCTAGGAAACTTGGGTCAGTTTCATCCAGATTTTTTAAAGGAGGGCATTTTGCAATTCATCAATTTAATACCAATTTTTTTTTATCTTTGAATGCAGTGTGGAGGCTGGAATTCCCGAGGGGACACCTCTCCGTTACGGCCAGCATTTCTGTTTCTGTACGCTGCCTGGCATTGGAGGCAGTGTAAGTCAGAGATTCCCATAAAATAACTTTTTGTTTCATTTATTGAGATTCACATGAGTAGGCCATTAACTCGCATTTTACCTCCGCCCAGGAGGTTATGTTTGCATAAGATTTGGTTAGTGTGTTGGTTGGTTGGTTTGTCTGTTTACAAGATAACTCAAAAAGTTATGGACGGATTTGCATGAAAATGCAAATTTTCGCGTCGGGAGGAAGTCAAGCTAACCTACACCTCTGGACCAGTAATTCCCACTATTTCCCCTCAAACCATGCTGTATCTGTATAATCCAAATCATTCAGGTGCTAATGAGTTATAAAAACCTTTCTGTTCTGAATCAACAGTTGAAATTAAAGACAGACATAGCCACCTTCCAGTCGTCAGCCAAGAAGACTCGCAAGCAGCTGGTGACGTTTGAGGAGTGCACCACCTACCTGATCCACTGGCGCATCTTGCACTTTGACCCCCAGCTCAGGATGGAGACAGAGGGCTTGCCTGTCCCGGTAAGATATTGAAGCACGTGTTAGTCTTTCTCCCACATATAAAAGGGGGAGGAACCTGTGTTCACAGGAACGGAGTTCCCATCTCTCTTTTATTTAGCGATTGAGCCAGACTCATATGCTGCTGGGGGGGGGGGATCGCCACACCTCCTCCACAGCGAGTCTGTTACCTTCCCAGCATTAAATAATGCCGGTACCCATTTAACACCTGGGTTGAGAGGAGTAATTGAGGTAAAGCGCCTTACTCAAGGGCACAACACGCATGGCCACGGCGGGCCTCAAACCCACAATATCACGATCATGAATCCTGTGCTCTACCGCTAGACCATATGTGCCCCACATATATTTGCAACTTTGTATTGGTAGAAGTGGGCACTTTCAATCAAATTAAGGTTTTTTCCTCCATGATAGATTGCATCAATGAGTGCACTTTTCTCTGTGTATGGACTCAAAGTAAAGTAAAAATATACTACGAGCAGCAGTCGATTTCACGAAACCTTCACGCTTGCGCAACATTCACAAATGATCTACTCTACCTGTAATACTTTACTTGGCCAAAAGTATTTTTACAAGAGCACTGTTCTTAAAACAGTACATTTACTTTTTAATTTCAGTTTTACCGTTTTCTAATTTTGATTTTACAGGCCAACCAAAAGATCATCTTTAACCATTGCAAGACCAACCAGGACCTGTGTGTTATCAGTGATGCCACTGTTAGGTAAGTCAACTTGTTAAGGTCTGGCATGCTTAGAACGGCTAGCTTTAACTGCTGGCAGTTTTGTTTTGTTTCCCTTTATGTTTAGAGGAACATGTAAAGACGACAGTCAATCAAGAGATTAAGGCTTGCCCAGAGTAACGTGATACAGCAACAGTCTCTTTGGTCTGGAGAATCCAAAGTTAAAATGTGCAAAGCATTCGAGCAACTCAGGGTACCAGATGTTACTAGAATTTAATTCGCAAATGGATTATTACGAACACGTCTAGACTTGCCTAGGTCAGCAAAAATGTCGCGGGTCTTTATACTAAAGTGATTCAGTCACTTGACAAGAAGGTAACCCTTTGAATCCAGTTACAAGAAATACTAAAACAATTTGATAATACATTTATTGTTTTCTGGTTTCACTTCAGGACACCGTTTGGCCGTGAGTACGAGCTGGTAGCCTACACCGACCTAGACTCCCACAAGGCAGAGAAGGACGTCAACCATTGGATCATCCAGACTGGTCACCCGCCGGAGCCCACTGGCCCTGCTGCCACATTACCTCTGGGTACCCAACAGTGAAAACACTTGACAACAAAGGGGTTTTTGAAACTGCGGCTTTGCCTCAGCTTTGCCACACTTTGACTTGGGATCATTTAGAAGCACTGAATGTCCACACCAAATGGAAAGTCTAAAATGTGACCTCAGATTATGGACTCTTTGCATGAACCGTATAGATGGCGCTTTATCACCACACAGTTGGATGGACGCACCAAGTATCTGATAAATATTCTGAATGTGTGCAAGTGTCTTTGCACGACTGTTTAATATGCAAAGACTGTTTCGGGGGCTATTGGCAATTCGTTCAAGAGACCGTACTAGTGGTCCCTCCCAATTTATTCATTGTAACTGTTTAGAGATTACTGAACTTGTGAAGGAAGTCTTTAAGCAATTAGTCCCCTTTGTCAGGACCCTAACATCTCTTGAGGGCAAAGCCGAGATTTCAAAAACCCAGGAATTTTGAAGGAATAGGGAGTTTTATAGTCTTCAGGCTAAAAGTGAGGATTGGATTTTTTTTGGGGGGGGGGGGGAATTAGAGGACATTAATGTTGATTTGTTTTTCTTGTGTATTCATTTGTACAAATACAGTATTTCCTCAGCTACACTCATTTTGTTTGAGGGGGGGGGCATTGGTCAACATTTTAGTTACACAAAAAATAATTGAGATGGTAGTCCCCTTTACTGTATTCAAAGTTGTGCTTGATATCTGTTTTCCCATAATCACATGTACATTATTTTCTCATCACAAGCACGAGTTGTTAAAGTGAGTGATCCTAGTGTTGTAAATAATATAAATAGTTAAGCTTTGTATACAAGTAGTAATGCACTTTCAATAGTTTGACAAAATACATGTAGTTGCTGGATGAATTGAATGCTAGTTGAACCACGTCTCTCCAAGCCCACCAATGAGTTCAAGTCAATCAACAATGGAAGTAGGAAATGCAATTGCAATTTTCTGTAAAATAAATAAATGTGAATAAGTGTTTGAATATCAAAAAGAGTTAATGCTTATTTCTCACCAGACAATTGCACACAACTTGAATGACTTCATATTTTGTTAATTTAGGAGTCAAATTCTTTAACTTTTTTGAAGCAGTGTTAATTCCGTCCAAATTACCTTTATGAAATTTTTCCTTCCAAATTTTTTTTATTGTACATTACATGTTTTTCCTGCTAAGAAAGTTTCAATAAATTGAAAGTTATCATTGATAAATATACTGTGCAAGTGGATACATTCTTTACTGTCATGTGTTCAAATTACATGTACTACTTTTGAACTTCTGTTCTCCTGTGGGCACAAGTTAGCAAATTTATCTACGAGTCAAAATAATCAACTACATGATTTTTGGGTTGTTTCTGCACAAGCGAAACACACTGCAACTAGTTTTCTGCTTCACCTTCACCTTACTCTCTGGTGCGACATATTGGCTGGCGATTTAGTGAGGACTTCATTTCCTTAGGCCAAAAAAACAAAAGTCTCCGGTTTCTGGTATGGAGCTTGCTCAAAAAGTGGTGCGGGATGCAGCTTTTTTTTTTTTTTTACCTTTTTTATTTTTGCTTCAAATGTCGGCTGATGACTGCAAATGGTGCCCGACTAAACTTAGTGCAAATATATGGGAGTCCAGAGAAGCCACATAAAGCTTATTCTCGATCATAACCCCATCTAAAAACAAGTTAAAACTGTGCAGCAGCAGGATTCCAGTAAACCAGTGAGTTTGGCGGTTTTGAGACATCATCTTTGATTGAAAAAAAAACTTTTTGATTTTGCGGACGTGCATGGCTACGGCGACGCGCGTGCATACCAGAAACCGGAGACTTTTTTTTTTGGCCTTATGGAACTGTGTTGGGTAAAATTAGCCAGAGCGGGTTAAGATTTTGTTTTTATGTTTTTTGTATACTTGGGTCCCAGTCTGGGGCAACATATCTAAAGTCAGAAATTAAAATAAACACACCAATACCAACAATTTTGAAAACCATACTGGCAATGATAATTTAATAACTAAATAATTTACAAAATGATTGAAGGTAATATGATTTTAAAAATACAGTTGAACCCTGATAAGAAGAGCACTGTTAAAGCTATAGTCCATCATTTGCAGCCATCCGAAAAGTAACTGGCGTAATTATTGGTGAAAAACAAACTTGGTTGAAAGATAGTAAGGGAACTAAACTCCCTGTGAAATTATTCTTTCTGGCAAGCTGTCATTTTGAAGTAATCAACGAAAGAAGGCATTTCCAACGGTGATTCTTAAGAAGCACCGTAGGAAAATTTAAATTAGTAGTTCGTTTTGTTATTCAGCGCAGCGCGCACAAGTATTGGAACGACGCACACGCGCGCGCGGTTGTTATAATTCGTCGAATCAGTGCGCTACGTCGCGTATAGCTGCAATTCAAAACAATTCAAAACATGATTCAGTAACTTTTGATTTGAAATTGAGATCTTAGAATGCTGTTTTTCTCGGAATGTACAGCTGAAGCTTAGCTGAAACTTCATCAGGTTAGTTGTTTAGTATCCTTCGTTAGATTTTGAACTCTTTTGTTGCTTCAAACGAACAAAATGCACTAATTACAAATGATGGACTATAGCTTTAACACAAGGTCCTGCTTATAACAAGCACAATTTTAGGTCCCAAGTCTTCTTTTTTCTTTGTTTTCCCGATACTGTTAATACAATGTACATGTACCTGTTATAACAAGGTAACTTGTCAAGGACCTTGTTATAAAGGTGTTCGACTGTATAAAAATGTGGCCTTGTAACTATAAGAAAATGATATGGTTTTTAAAAAACTAACGTGAAGCAGTGACCAGTCTGCAGGAGTGGATGGGTGGACAAATCTGGATCAAATTAATGACACAAAGTTATTCAAAAAGAAACAAAAGTAAGACAAATCTAATAACAAAATCAAAGGGAGAGAAATATTACAACCACTGAAATAATCAAAGTTTCCTGGCTCGACTTGCAATCAATAGACCTTTATCATGCTGCCACCATTTCAGTCACGTTCCCTGAATCCAATAACAGTACTGAATGATAATGTTTTTGTGCAAAAGGAACCAGACTATTTTGCCTTCCAGCCTCGCTTTGGTTACGTTGATTTGAATGGTGAAAATCAAAATGGCCGCACCATGATAATGGTCTATTGCCAACAACAGCAAAATCACCACATCCCAACCATGTGCTGCTAAATTATACATGACTCTGGTCTCTACCATGCTTGGGCAGTTCAAAAAGGGAGGGCATCCACACTACATGCACATCAGGGCGCCCTTTGTGCACGATTGACTCACAAATCATGAATTAATCAAATCTCTTTTAGGTCAGCTGCAGAAAAGAAATTTTGAATCAGCAGTCTCAAGGGCAAGGCTGCCGAGTTTGTGTTTCCACAACTTGACCCCTCAACCGTACAAGACTTTGATAAACTTGTATTGGCATGAGAGCCGTTCTGCCGAGCAATCCACAAAAAAAAGTTGGCTTGCTCTGCTTGACAGCAAGAAGTTCACACCTAAAGACAGTCTGACTGGATATGTGGCAGACATATGCTGCCTAGTTATGCACAGCCAGCGGGGGTACTACCCAACAGCCGATGCTGACACAAGAGAGCCGAAGAGCTAAGATATTTTCTGAAATGATTGCCGACCAGCAAACCATTGCTGTGATCGGAATGACAAACCCCAAAACAATGGAAGAAGCCATAGCAGTGGTAGGACTTTTTGTAAGCCTTTGTGAGAACTTGAGCCCAGAGAAAAACTCCTTCTGAGTCCATGCTGTTCAAGCAACAGACAAGCAACAAGAAACTGCATCAATGTGTAACGCTGTGATGAAGAAGGAGGCGTAGGTAACACACAAGCCAATGAAACAGTTTTTTGACAATCTTGACAGTAATGTAGGTTGACTGGCATATAGTCAAACTTATCAAAGGAAATGGCCCTGCCAAAAAGCCAACAACTGATAGTGCCAAACCCGTTGACAACAATGATGGGAACGGCAAGTCAGACGCCACTTGCCTCTCCAGTTGCCATCAAACAGGCAATGCGGACGAAAATAAGCAGCTTGAAATTCAGATCAGCATCAGCCAAACAGCCAAATGTTTAATTTTCCTGTAGACAAGCCAGGTAGCTCGATTCCTTGGCCTGACAATCCCTGACGTCTGTAAGTTGCTCTGTTTCTTTAATTAGCTAGAGCATAAGAACAGCTTTGAATCTTGGCTTTCAAGCTTCTATGAACACAAAACGTTAGATAGGTCAGCATACCAGTGTAATAACATCCTGAAATCTGTTTGTTAATTTCTAAAAATAAAAAACACAGCAAAAACAAATATCATATTATCTTAAGTCCATTTTCTACTTTATGTGAGGGAGAGCCTCTTGACAGACAGCAATAGTCATCTTTATACTGGTGAAGACAAGACATGTCATGCGGCTTTTCATTGGACACAATGAAGGAAATTAGCACAGAATGCAACATTGTGTTTCCCTTTGACAAATGTTTATATGGCAGATACACATTCAACCGCAAGGCTGTTTCACAGGTGGCATGGAACATTGTAAAAACGTGTGTAAGTATGTTGACAATATTGACAGTGCCACAAACTCTGATATATTGATATTAATTCATGTCATGCATTTAATTTTACGACTTATTGTTAAATTAATTGTAGGTGAACACGCCCCTTACCAACTATTATAAATAATGACAAATGAAATTTGAACATGTGACTTTTGTCCATTAAACTCCAAGAAGAGAATGTAATAAATATGGTTTCATCTTTTACTTTTAGAATGGAAAAGAAAACCACCAGACTCTACCCCGGTCCTGCCAAGAGAGGTTTTAGCAGTTTCAAATGAAGGAAAACCAGCAGGGGAGGAAATTCACAGCTGTGTGAATGATGCCATCAAGGCTTGGCTCATGTACTCAAACAAGAGGCTGGACCAACTATTGAATTCGATTGTACATTACCGAGGCAAAGAAATCGGGTGAACATCGGTCACATGTGATCTGTGCCACATAGCTGAATCGGTCATCTTAGCTGAATCGGTCATCTACTCCATCCTCCCCGGCTTGAGAGGATGGAGTAGCAAAAGTTACAGTGCATCTGGTGGTATTTTTTGGTGTTTTAAGAAAAGCCCCTTCTTCATGTTAAAATGTCATTTTCATCCTCAAAGAGTCTACACCTACCAAAACAAACCCCATCAAGGGAACTAGAAAACGACACATCATGCCAGAGTCACCAAACGGTTGGTCTTCACGAAATTTCTTTGTTTTGTCAAAAATCACTTAATAATATTATTTAGTGAATTTTATGAGTGTAATATCCTTACAAATGTAAGGGCATGTAAGGATCGGCTCAGACATCTTCAGGATGTATACAAAAGAAACAAGAGGAGTTCTTCAAGGACATAAATATCTTTTAGGGGCCGTTCACAATTATCAACATTTTCACGAGCGTACAAACCGTACGCTGGGGGGGGGGGGGGGGGGGGGGGGGTTAATGGCCGCCGTACATTTTTTTTTTTTTTTTAAATGTCGATATGTTTTCTCGCCCGTTAATGCCCGCCTAACGCTTTTTTTTTTTTTTTAAATGTCGATCTGTTTTCTCGCCCGTCGTCCACAGCCGCAACCGATGCCGATCGAGCACTTGCCGAGCCGGTCACGCCCCGCGCCAGGCCCCGCATTGCATCCCATGAACGTATTGTGTACAGCATGCGCGGCATTGTCCTACACACGTACATGAAAATGTACTGTATGTACATGTACATGTATAGTCCGTATCCACTGCGTATTTTTAACGGCCGGTGTCACATGAAAATCTGACTCCTATGAAAATCGGACCCCTTTTTCCCTTTTATTGGTTAATCTCTCGCACGTGACAGGTCACTCCCCCCAAACGATCCTAAAAATAGCATAGTATTGTACTCACGCGTGCGCACTACCAATGAGTCCACATTTCATGGAGTCGGATATTCACGCTTCACCGGTTGAACAACACCGGCACAAGCAATGGGGGACAATAAATATTCTAGCCGCGCTGTTGACTTGGATCAATTGTTGAAATTCCTCATTCGACAAGGATGTGTTGTCCACAAGAATCCGACCAACAAATACATGGAGTTTGTAAAATGCTTTTGTGTTTGTGAATGATCAACGCAAACGAGCAGATGTCGTGTGTGAGGGCCAGAGATTGTGGCGGAATGCAGACCGTGAAAAGCTGTTCG